TATTGATATTCCACGAGTGTTATTTAGAGAGCAATATTCCGTCAACTGTATGGATATGGCAGCAGAGCATTTGCGTGCACAATACGGATGTGTATGAATTTCCAATGGTGAAGATTGCCGAAGTCTCGTCCTGCATTCTTATATGAATGTACTAATACTTGAGCTGTGGTAATATCTGTTGTGCATTGATGTCTCAGTAGAATACCTCGGTTAGGAGTATGCATAATCTTCAATCGTATTTTGTGAGTACACTCATATGTGCATAGTACTGTTTTTTAAGAAGCACAATTTTGCGCATTTTATGGATCTCCCTCAGCAACAACTATATGAAGGGTCTGAGCTTCGGAGGCCACGATTTCGGTCTGTATTATACGAAAAACACTGCTGTCTCAGACTGGTAGGAATCCCTGAAGTATAATTATATTACGAACGGTGAAATGCGTAGAAATCCATGATTCTGGCAGCACCGTCCTAGTAAGTGTACCGATTTCTCTAAATTACCCATGTGTGATAATAACTTCTTAACTTTGAATGCTGATATTCTCACAGTAGTATCCTGTAAATATTTCTACTGTGTGCGAAGTATTGATATGCCAGGAATGACATTCTTGGGATGAATACTAATGTGGCCGCTTTACTATGATTTAAATAGTATTGAAATACAGCGGATATCATTATTTCAACCGTGTATGTGTGTCTCAAGAATAGTATTATATGAATGACACCAAGGGATGAAGTTGACAAATATACGTGCTGTAGTCTTATATAAAAGGCACAACTGTATGAGATGGTGAAACATGCAGCAAATGTCCATGGTTGTGAAGTAAAAGTCTGTGCGGGCACTATTATTATATGGGCGTCGAGGGATTATACAAGTATTGTACGAACGACTAAATCGTTTAAACCTTGGAAACCGCTTGGATGAGACATATATAAGGAGCACTTCTACGTAAGGGGTATGGATATCCTCCAGTGTCACTGTATATGAGACCTACCAAAGAGTTCGTAATATTTACATGTGGAGAATTGTAACACCGTTATTCTCTTGGTATTTGAAAACAGCAGCTGCACTTGGGGTACCATTATTTGTACAATACTGGTGTGGATTTTCCTTGGTAGTGATGGGCGCGGATATACGTGTACTACCATTATGTGACGAGTATAGTGGTGCATGTACTAGTGTATGTGAAGGATTCAGGGTTTATGCTTTCATTACATGGACGGCCCTATTCTGTGAAGTCCATGGATATTCCAGTATAACTATTGTTTAGGGAGTACAATTGTCTCTACTTTCTCAATGGTGAAGAGTGCGGAAGTCCCCATAGTACTGTTCTATGAAAGTATTAGTAGTCAAGCTATATGGATCATCTGGGGTGCTACGATACTGACGGAACCATGATGTGTGGAGTTTCCTGCCTTCATGAGTAACATAACCCTTGGAGTACGATTTTTTGGGAGAGTACTGGTGTAAAAGGAGTATCGTTGCATTTACACCCCTGTCGTGTGGATAATGCTTCCATTTGAACAGGATCTTTGCTGAAGGAGTATTCATGACTTGGAGTACTGTTATGGGGACACTACAGAAGTATGTATAGTACTCATATCTAAAGATGCCTGATATGGCTAGTACCACGACATTTGATGAGTGGCAAAGTTAATCTCGTATTATTAAATAAAGTAAGGGGGGATGTAGAATTCATGACTTAGCTTTGTGCCGTATGAGGAAGGCCAACCGTTACGCAACGTGTCGAAGTTGCCATAGTACCTCCGTATGGAGGGTGCAGTTGTGTGGGACACATGAGTGTGTTAATTGCACGATTACTTGAAAAACACTGATGTTATGTACAGAATAGTTTGTCCTGATGAGTACGAATGTCCTTGGAATAACATTATTTGAAGGGTCGTCATGTTGGTTTAATGGCTGGATGATATGACTTGGCCGATTTTGCAGATCCACCAGGTGGCCTCGAATCATATTATTTAAACAGTAGAGCTATGCCAGAGCCACTATAATGTTAACCGTATTATAGTGTCAAGAATACTGATTTCCGAGGGCTGTCATTATTCGTAGGGTAATATTCTATGAAGTGCATGGATATTCTACAAGGGCAGATAAGAAGGAAGTATACATGTGTCCCCATTTCCCATGTTGACGAATGCGGAAATTCTCGTAGTACTGTTATATCAATGTATTAATGGGTGATCTATACTGATATCTGCAAAGTACTGTTCATTTAGGGGCATAATTGTATAAAACATACGGATGATCTGCGGCGCAGTCTTGTGAGTGTACTCATATCTCCCTAATATGATGTCTTGGAGTGCACAATTGTAGTGGGATTCTGGATACCCCCCATGAACAATTATTAAAGGAGGTGGAATATCATAGCCTACTGTTTAGGCTTCTATTATAGGGAAAGCACCATATTCCGGAATTAATAGCACTCCCTGGAGTGTTATTATATTAACAGCCGTATAATGTGTGGAACTGCATGATTGGGGGAGTAGCGCTCGAGCAATTGTACACATGTGTGTGAAGGAGTATTGTCTAAGAATTACTTATTCGCTCCCACTGGTAACATTCCCAAAGTACTATTATGTGAACAATGCGAATGTTTGCGGAGTATTGATTTATTAGGGATAACGTTGCGAGGTGAATACTACTGTACCGGGAGTACTATGATTTAAAGTGTATGGACCTGCATGCCATATCGTTATCTTTATCCGTCGTCCCTGGCAAGGATGGTAATGTATAAATGACACCATTGTAAGAGGTAGACGAATATACTGGGTGTATTATTATAGGAAAGGTATGATGATATAGACAGTACACATGTGTCTAAAGTGTCAATCCTGGTAAAGGGTACAGCCGTATCAGGAATATTATTGTATAGATTTACCGGTTATGCTGTTATTGTAAGGAAGGGAAAATATTTTACAACTAAGACAGAGCTTGTGGCACATTCATTTGAAAGAGATTATTGTCGCAGCACTCAGATGATATGTACAGGGCAGGGAAAATGAGAAGTGGCATTCTGTGGAGTGAAATGATATGAAAAATACAGTATTGTATGAGGGATACCGATATTCTCAAGAACCGTCCTTTGAAAGATAAGAATACTCCTACAATATGCCCATCGAAAATGCAAAAGTGTTTGAATTGCGGGCTATGTCTTCAAAGTTTCGGTTCCTATTCTTTGGGCGACAGCAGTCATTGATGAGTATAGATCTCTATGAAATAGTATTATGTGAAGAATTGAGTGCTACATTCTAAAGAAAAAAGCAAGCCATTAATTACGCGCAGGTGCAAGCGCTGTAGATGTGTCGAATGTATTATTGCCGGAGTAATACAATAGAGGCAGAAATACTTGCATATGGACAATCCAAGGATTCTATCGGAAATGTTGTTTGTAATGTACAGTGTCGCAGGAATGCTTTTATGTAAACGCCTCATAACATAGCGTTCTAGATACGACTAATTGGAGAACGTGACTAATTGAGGAATAATGATTTATGTGTAGTATTATTTAAAAAATATCGCTCCCCCCAGGACTACGGGCCTGTGGAAGGTACGCTTAGCATACAGCCCTATTATATGAACCACGCGTCTATACCTCCAGTATTATTTTGTGTACTGTATACATGTCTCCTAAATATTATTCTGCACCAGGTCCATATTTTACAGTTTTTTTATTTGGAGACTATTATTGGCAGAAGATAACACATCTCGATGGGGAACCATGATATCAGGAACATAATCGTGCGGGTTCTATGACTATGACTGGAATACGTTTATATGGAAAAGTTAGGCCAACGGGTGCTATTATTTGAAGAATAGAATGAGGCCGGGGATATAAACTTCCTTGGAAGACTAATAAATAAGGAGTACATTTTTCGCGACCATGATTAAGTATGTGAGAAGGAGACATTTCTCTAGAGTATCACTGAATAAACAGTAGGAGAATCCGAAGAATCGCTATTGTGGAGTCGTCAAGATTTAAAGCAGGAAGCACCATAATTTAAAAAGAGATATTTAGTAGAAGATAATAGAGTTGATGCAGCCGTATTCTTGGAGGCGTTCCAATCACAAAGCGTTACACATATATAGAACATGCGAGATGCCTCCGGTATATTTGTATTAACTCTAAGAATCGTCCTTACAACAAGTGTTTAGAGGATAAGCTTCTGTCAAGGGTAATATTCTATGTAGAACAGTGCTGTCTGAGGAGGAAAATTGTTTAAGATAATACAAAGGTTTAGAGACTCGAATTTCATGAGGAGGACGGCAGTTGTAAAGATCATACTATTTCAGCAATACACTGGCTTGTAAAATAATTCCCTTCCAAGAAAACCCATATACCAATCCTAAGGCTATTCATGCTGTATAAGAAACTGAGAGATACTATCACTAAGAGGGGTTTCAACATACCGAGGGTGCTTATATATAGGAAGAACTTTTTATAGTCCAAGTAACACTGTAAGTACAGTAATACGTCGTGAACTGTGATTATTCCCTCTCAATATTATTGTAATATAGATTCAATAATTATCCGAGTACTATTAAGAAACAATGATTACGGAACATTCGCACACCTGCCTTAATCTGTAGTATTTTCCTCTTAACAAGACTCGAAATCGATGCGGTACTATTAAAATATAACAATTATGTAAAATGAAAGATTAAACTTCTTATACTCTAGAGAGGAATAGGCAAATTATAAAAGGAATACTAATATATAGAACCAGCTGTTTCTCGTGGAGAGTTAGGAAGAATAATAATATGAAGCACACCAAGGGGATAAAATGAGCATAAGAGTAAGAATAGACATAAGATGTTGAACAATCATTAACCTAGAATGGGGGAGAGCAAGCATATAGTAGCGGATCATTATAATAGAATGTATATACAAGTACAACTGACATATTTGAGAAAAATATCTACTTCAGAGAACGGAGGGAGATATCTCTAGGACCATATAATACACCACGAGCCAGTGAACATATCAACATAACGGTCAAAGTGGAAATGTCTAAAGGGGAAGGTACATAATTCATAGATACAGAAGAGATAACACGAGAACAGAGGAAACAGTAGAAGATGCTCAGGGGATGAAGATTAGACAAGACACTCAAAGAATAGAACCAAGAAAAACAGTAGGGGTGACAAATAAGGAATAATGTGAGCAGCAGATCTTTCCCTCTGACAAAATAGATATATGAAATCGAGGGTTTCATGTTTTCTAACATATAAACAAAGGAATAAGGACAGACAATATCTTGAATCTGTGCTGAGTTCATGGAGTATAATAGGTCGTACAATAATTTCATTTTTGTCTGTATCTAAGACTATAGATAATGATATAAGCGGCGTCTCTTTATTCACAACAGGAGCATGTAGCATGTTAAATGGAATTCATAACCCCTTTTATGCATAGGAGTGTATGAGCCTATAAAATGAGTACATCCCCCTATTGACATAAAGACATGTCCTATAAAGGAGTTCTACACCACCATAGAGTTATGAGGTTCTTCTGAGAAATGAGAAGAAGTGAATAGATACATGATCATTTTGGCCGTGATATGGTTTTTATATGAGTTTTAAGTGTAATGCTATATGGGAATATAAGCGATAATAGAAAAGTTCTCTCCCTTAATAATGAGTCAAATAGTTTTATAAACATATTGTGTGTTATTCCACGTGATTAATTAACCCAAATTTTCGAAAGTATTGGTGAGCTGCTGTGGGTATTGTCTGAATAAACAGGGGACTATCTATGTTTCGATACATTATCATAATATACATTTACCCACAACGTGGCAAAGGAATAACTGTATAAGTAGCTGGGTACAGAATGTTGTGGCTTATAGGAGATTTTCTTTGCTATATGAAATATCATGAGGGATGATATAAAAAGAGCTATCGTGACCTGCTAAGCAGTAAATAAGCAAGAGCATATAAGATAGCGGTGAAAAATCATATGATGGTTAGGAATTTATTGATAGAACAAAGTGTACATTATAAGAAAAACCGAGGGACAACACAAGAGAACAAAGGAAAGGAAGGAGACGAGAAAGAAAATATGAGATTTCCGCCATAAAGGAATAGATTAAGCAATACGCGTCCCTAAATAAAAGAAGATAGTGTCAAAAAGGGGAAGAGGCAAGCGAAGAACGCAAGGAACACCGGCAAGGAAAACGAAGGAAACCCCAAAGGGGAAAGTATAGGAGCAGAAGCAGGTTGAATAAGGAATATGAGCAAATGAAAAGTATAAAGATCAACATCATGGGAGAATATTCAGGAGAGTCAATATACAGTAATTACTAAGCAGGAAACAGACAGGAACCAGGACAACAAAGAAGGAAAGGGAAAAAGCACAGTAGGAAAATAAGAGAAGCGATAAGAAAAAAATTTTCCCCAAACTATGCCTCTATAGCAGGGGACCCAATGAAAAATAGACGCAAATATATTATGACGTACGACGACACTAGGCAGCGGGGGATAATGAACTGAACAAGGACAAAGACAGAACCACTGGAGAAGAGAGAAATACTCCAACAGATATAAAACTGGGACAGAGTGGAAAACAAGTTGAGTCCAACCATCTGGGAGCAGGGGCGGAAGATAGAATAGTTAGGATTATATATTATGAAAAAATGAGAACCCAACGAGCCGTCCTCAAAGGATAAAGGTAGGGAGGCACTAGGAATAATGAATCTATATCTGAAAAACTGAATTGAGAAACCGAAAAACGGGAAACAAGTGCTATGAGTAAGAATAAGTATATATAGCAGGGAGGAGTAACCGCGGCCAGCTAAGAAGTATATAGAGTACCTCTAGGGTATACAATTAAGAAGGGGAAATAACTGCAGGAAGGAGCAGGCATATTAGGAGGCCAAGGAGGAGAGGAGAAATAACTGGCCCTTATAGAGTGATATCAAAATATCTTTAAATACGGAACCAGTAGTGGATAAGACAACTGGGGGAATTCATGATAATAAGAATAAAAACTCCAAACTTATGCACTCAAATAACTGATTCAAACAAAAACCACAAAAGAACAAGGGATACATACCGGCTTTGGGAGCCAGATATCCCCTAAAAGTAGCTAAGTACACAAAAAAGAGCTCAACCAGAAGGCGCCACTGAAAAAAGAATCCTACCCAACAAGTTACGTACTAAAAGTATTCATCAGAGAAATTAGACCGTAAACCCCTAGGAGGAAAAGCAACCAGGAGTCTAGATCACTGTGAGCAAAAGAAAAAATTGCACTGGAAGGCTCAGGAGGCAAACAATTATGAGAACTAGTCAATAATGGCTTAAAAGACAAGAAGCGGAAGATAACAGTGAGGGAGAAAATAAAGTTGAAGAGAGACACCCAGTCATTTGAGAGGATGGAGTAAGGGAAAAGAATAGATTACTCCCAGAAAGGGGAAGATGGCAACGTCTATGTCGAAGCATAGGCCAAGTGAAGAAGGGGCAGCCCGAACAACTTAATGACAGGGCACACATATGGGGGAGCAAATTAAAGGGTAACGAGGGTTAAGAAAATTTTTGCATGAAGACAAAATCAGAGTCTTAAGTCGATGTGAAGAAGTACCCAATAGAACATAAAGAACAAGAAACACAGGGATGTGGGAGGAACTGGCCGAACAAGGGTAGAGAATAGATACCAAGCCCAAGTCTAAGGATTCGTTACAAGGGACGAGCCTAATGAACCGAGTGTAAGAGACGGACAACTGGAGTAGACCACGGAGATTCTACAGGAAGATCCCAAAAGATCCCCAAAGGAACACTCCACCAGGAGACAGGGAGTGGATAATATAACGAGGATCGTAGTAGAAGAACAGAGACTAAGGGAACAAACATAGAATTCGGGGGAAAAATAGTAGAGTAATCGGGAATAGGGGAGAGTGACCCCAGAGGAAAAACCAAGGGCGCCTGGCCCCCTCAATAGGAGAAATAAAAGACTAGGCAGGATAGGATGAACCATTTCTTAATCAGAAAGGGGCGGCAAAGGATTCACAGCCGAGTAACAGCTAAGGCTCAGGTTTAGAGAGAAATAATGAGTGGAGCGACCCTAGGCTCTGATGACGAAAACCCCCAAAAAAAGAAGGAAACAGAGAGAAAGGAGAAACACCAAAGGTACAACTGGCGAAGGAATAACCCTATGACCGAGAAGTTTCTGAGAGGCAATTAAAGCCAGTAGCATGAGTTACGTTGGAATATATGCGAGGATTACCCCGTCCGCAAAGCTATATGAAGAGAAGAAGAAAGCCTCCTGACTAGAAGCAAGCCACGGAGAGGAAGAAGAATGGCTCAAAGATAATGGATCGGATGAACATCACCGAGGAGCGGCTTTGTTAGATGTGATATATACAGCCACACCTACAAAACAAAGGAAGCAAAAGACAAAGGGGGCGCCCAAGTCTGAGAGTAAGAGGAACAGGAACTTCCCAACAGTAGAGCAGAGTCAACTCACAGAAGGGATCAAAATATCCCAAAAAATTGAGGGAGTGTATCTGAAACTCCCTCTCCTTCTTTGGAGGAAAAAACCTCACAATTCCCTAAAGAATGACAAAGAAACTATAATCGAGCACCGAAGAAATTAACGAATCCCTTTCTTTCCAAAACTACATCGAAAATAGGCGATATCTCTAACCGTGACAAGCAAACACCAAAAGTCGGAGCAGATAAATAAGGAGTTAAGGAAGAGGAAGTCCAAGAAAGCTCCCTAACTCAAACTTCTGACAAGGGAAGGTCCCACAGATATACTATAAGAAATAAAGAAGAGATAAGAGCCACCGTCCAACAGCTGACATTTGGTCCAAGGGGAGAGAAGATGGATAAACAGAAATAGAGGATCTCAATGATGACAGACTCTTATGACCCAGAAGCAAGTTTTAATAAGTATAAAATATGTATTCAAGAAAACCGCAGTATGAATCAGGAGGGTTCCAAAAGTAGCTGATCGGAAGAGTTTAGATAATTTAACAGGAAAGGGCCAGACAGTAAAAGGAAGTCAGAGACGCAAACCCCCGCAAGCAAAATAAGATGACCTTATAGAGTAGGTTCCAGAGGCTAGGAGTGATAAGGGGATAAAGGAACAGAAACGACGAAACAGGAAATTATTACTAAATCCCAATCTTCTGGGATTACTGTCAGCTACCGAACTGATAGTATATCTAACATGAGCAAGAGGGCTAGTTAAAAACAAAAAAAGGCAAGGCCTATTATGTAGAGGAAAACGGCAAGGGTGTACCCCAAGTATTACTGACTCTTTGCAGTATGGAACAGCTAGGCAGAACAAATCAGCGGCGTATTCCCAATATTCCGCGTCCTAAGTGGAAATCCAGAATCAAATAAGAAATAGGCGAGGTTCCTAAAAGGCCAAATATCAGGAGAGCCTCTGAATCAGCTGTAGGAACACGCCAGCCTGACTAAAACAAGATTCATGGACAAAAACTCTCCAAAGGCTCTAAACCAGACAGCAGTAGGAATGGCAAAAAGTGTAAATCCCACTGATTTTATAACACCGAAACTATTGCGACCATATCTAAGAAAGCGAAGCAGCACTAGTAATTGAGGACAAGTCGAGGAGGAGGAATATCAGGACAGAATATTATTCCAACACCAAGGAATCATATAATAGATCTACCAAGGAAATCATAGTCCTAGATAATTATCTCGAACTCTTCATTCCAACTGTGTGTCGTCATAGCGTATTTCCCTGAGGTGAGATCCAAGTCCAAAACAAGAGGGCCCCATCCACCTGGCCCCAGGAGCCCACACGTATAAGATAATGATTAGATGAACCAGTGAGTCTCAGTATATAGAAAGGAATTATCTCACAGAGAGCCACTGATATATACTAAGAAATTGGCAAAAAAAGAAGAGTTAGAAATTAACAACCCTCAGAAGTACATGGATTAACTTTAGGCATCACAACAACCTTTAGAAGAAAGTCTCTTTCCGACTGAGGCGACATGAGGTCAAATCTCAACAAAATAAAAATTAGTAAAGAATTTGATGACAAATCAGAAATCAACTATATACCTCCAAACCCGAAGGAAAAAACAGGAAAACGTATACCAAAGGCCTAATCTATAACAAAGATCCCAGATCTAAGGTAAACCGTAGATTAAACGAAGATTTATCCGAATGAATCTCAACTTTTCTCTATAAAACAACAACTCAGAAGCATACACTACGCTGACACAAGAATAAACCTTCAGACGGTCTCACCCCAGGAAGCGAAAACCCCAGGCG